GAATAGTTAATAAGTTAATAATAGAATAGATCAGAGCGGTCGGTTAAAAAAAGGCGCAGAGCTTTTTCTTCAGGCAGCCACCTGCTGCTGTAAATGCTCTCTACTGAAATAAAATATTACCTGTTGAAAATGTGACACATCAGTTTCAAACTGATTACCATATCAACATAATCTAAAGACACTGCTGATTAGAAAACAAAAGAAATGACTCATCCAACATCTGATTTTAGAAAACTAAGACTTTTTGTGAAGACACAAGGAGCCTTCACATGAGTCCTACTGGGCGAGTGTTTCTGAGAGAACTGTCTTTACCCTCATAGCTTTTTCTGTGCTATAAATGACACTTAAACAATATTATAAAGGCAAACCGAAGTGGACATACTAACTCTCTCCTGTCATGCCCTGTATCAAACTTTTTTAATTTCAGCCACTCGTCTCCTGTGAACAGAACTTTTAGAATGCTCGACAGATGATTCAGTCCATTTCTTCAGCGAAGACGTCAGGATACTTTAGACTCGTTTTCACTCGTCGCTCCTTTTTAAACACTTTGATGGTTGACTGCCTCTGAAAGATTCTCTAAATGAATAATAAATGGACTTGAAGACACAAGCTTAGCTCCAACATTAAGACTTAAAACAACCCATAGTGCAACACGTCTGTAAGACCTGGTGTAAAAAACATCAATACTTTATTCATTCAGAAAGAATATCTGGGGGCCATTACCCGAGCAGACTAACCACTTAATAATGTTAAGATTATAATCAGAAAATGTAGAAAATCCATCAAGGGCTGCAGCAAGCAAAGAGATACACCGTCCATACCTTTAAAAGTCAATGTTTGAATTCTAATATGTCTAAAATCAAATATTGAAACGCCCAAGAATCAAGATGACGGCGTGAATTTACTTATTTTGTCTGGCAAGATCTCCAGAACTAAAGATTTCTAATTCACTGTTCCATAAAACAAACACAATCCTATCAAATAAGTTTGACTAAGTTAATAAGTTTTATATTTTTATACAAAAATGACTCAGTTGATCATCACAATGATTGCATATTCATTTTCCATCAATCCACTCATTGCAGCTTTGCTCTTGTGTCTTTCTCTGATTATTCCTGGCAGGTGGATACGATGGACTCAATATTCTGAATTCAGTGGAGCGGTATGACCCACACACAGGCCACTGGACCAGTGTTACCCCCATGGCCACCAAGCGGTCAGGTAAAGAAGGAAACAGTCACAAGTCAAATATCATAGCTTTCTCTGTGGATGTTGGTTTAACCGAGGCTTCGCTGTTTTCAGGAGCTGGTGTGGCGTTACTAAATGACCACATCTACGTCGTCGGGGGCTTTGATGGCGTCTCACATCTGGACTCTGTTGAAGTCTACAACATTAGAACGGACTATTGGACGACAGTAGCCAGTATGACCACTCCTCGATGTTACGTAGGAGCGACCGTTCTACGAGGGCGTCTCTACGCCATCGCAGGGTGAGAAACAGAGCCCGTCTTTCTGTAGGAGTGGGTTCACTGAGTCGGTTGGACTTGTTTAGGTGGAAAGTTTGAACCAGGCTAACCTAGGAAGTAGCCGCACGATAAAAAATTGTTGTTTAGAACTATCCAGCAAAATATTTCTCTTACTACTATAAACGTGTGAACGCAAACAGCCACATTTTTCACTCAGACTTCACCTGAAGTTTCTCCTGTCAGCCCCCCAGTATTTTTTCATGCATCAAGTCCGAGTGAGCTGATGTGAGAACAGCTGCATTACGTGCATCTCCGTTCTTTTGCTGACATTGTGATTACACTGAACTACATGTAGCATTGATATAAAGGCAAATATTCTCATTATAGCATCGTGGAGCGGACTCTGTTGCTTCGTTCACTACTTCCTCGTCTTTTTTTTTTTTTTAACATCACGTCTTACCTCAGGAGACTCCCCGCCCACCCTCCCACCTCTGAGGGGATAGTCTCCCGCCGCGAGGAGCATATGTTTACAGCCAGGTTAAGAGAATATCCAGAGCAGTCCTCCTGAAATTATCTAGATATTTTCAATAGTGTGTCAGTGAAAACGTCTTATGACATGCATGAAGCGGAGGACTTATAAGTGCAAGCACAACCTGTTTGAATGTTTCTGCATGGACCTGTTTTTCTTAAGACAGACTTGAAAGATTGTGATATGTCAGTGGTACTCCCACTGCTGTGCAGCTGTACTGACTCCAATGAATAGTCAGCTTGAAAACTGTTGGCTTAGTAGGCTCTCTTTCCATGTACAACAGTAACAACTCCTAATCAGATGCATATTTTTGAAAGTTCCGCATTTACCCAAAGAATGCTCCTTAGACCCTCAATGATGTAAGAAAACCACAAGACTAAATCAGAAAATGCTATACTAGGATTTGGTGCGATCAGGACTGTAGACTCTGTACATGAGACGCCTGCTCTACAGACTGAGCTAAACCAGATGATCTTTCACTGAAGCGGTGCTGATTGTTGTGTTTTGTCTCTTCTCTCTCTATAGCTATGACGGGAACTCTCTCCTCAGCAGTATTGAATGTTACGACCCTGTCATCGACTCCTGGGAGGTTGTCACTTCGATGGCGACACAGCGGTGTGACGCGGGAGTCTGCGTTCTACGAGAAAAGTGAATCTTTGCCAAGAATGAAGAGCCCAACGCGGGGGGACGCAGACAGAAGGACAGGCAGCTAGACTTTGCTACAAATGCCACTTAACAGAGCCACAGAGGGGGATGTTTGTTCGCCAGTATGCAAACAGGTACTCTCAAATGACGGGCAGCGGTTTGGGCTGCCACCTCGACACAAAGCCTGTGCAACGGAGATTCAGCTTCACCGCAGTAGACGTCATCTCAAAAAGAGGCCTCCAGGAAGCCCATCACTACATGCATGACTCTCTTCGGTGGTACATGTTGCTGTCGTTACCTGTGAGATTATTTTTTCAGTTCGTCTTCAAAGTGCAATATATTTCTACTCATCATGAGAAAACGGAAGAGGAAGGAGCCGACGAAGACTCCAGTTGCTGCTATTCGCCTTATGACTTTGGCCTGCATCCAACATCCGCGCTGCCACCCATTCGACTTTGAAGATAGATAAAGTACAATGGCTAAAATCGAGTGTACTCATTGGCATCTGCGAGGTCATTAACGGGTCTGTAGTTCAGCCCTTTTTTGTAATTCTTCCTGTAAACTGTGCTTTTAGATTCAAATCACTTTATTATAAAGTTTAATACTTATTGTCGCTCTCAGAATCTATATTTAGAGATGAATATGGTTTTAGAAAATGACTGAATTGTAACAGTTGATCTTTTGTCCTTCCATTCAGTGGGAATGCAGAATCACAAAGCAGTAAGTATGAGGTGCATGTGATTTGTTTTTATTCCTCATCCTATGGCCTTGGATATGTTCGTGGAGGACACAAAAGTCAGAACGTCACTGTTGCCTGGGAAGTGAATAAACATAATGAGAACCGAAACGTTTCGTCTGTGATGCGTCTCAATCTGTGGGGGGAAAAAAAAAAAACAGAGAATATTCATCAGCTGAGTCGGTAACATCTACGGTCAGAAGATTCCTCACTCGCACCCAGAGAGGAAACCTGCAGAATCATCCAGATGTGTACAGGATATACGCATCCAGTGTATATCCTGTAACATAAAATGTATCCAATGAAACACAGAAATGAAATGAAATGAAAAGACACAGAAATTACTGGTTTTAAAGGGCAACTTCCCAATTTATTTATATTTCAATAAGAAGTTGCATCGGTATCTGTTTGGGTCTCCATATAGTGGTCTGCTTTCCCTAAAGTTTTTTGCCACGCTAGCTCTTGCTCTGTCGGTCAAATGATCCACAGTGCAGATTCTCGTTGTCAAAATCCATCATCCATATTTTATACTGGTCGAGGGTCGCAGAGGGCTGGAGACAATTCCAGTGGTCATTTGGGCGAGTGACGGGTACACAGGGCTGACAATCAAATATTCTCTCACACACATTTATTTAGTTACCAATTAACCTAACTTGCATGTCTTTGGACTGTGGAGAAGGCAGAATGTCTTTAGAGAACCCTCATGTGCACTGGGAGTAACACATAAACTCCACACAGACCGGCCCCTCCAGCTAGGGATTCAGACAAAAAGCTGTGCGCTGTGTCGGCTGTGACACGACTGCTAACCAAACATCGCTGTGCAGCTCTTACTGTCAAAAATGATTCTTTTTAAACATGAATGGTTCTCAGAAGCTTAATCTCTAGCTACTAATATTTTTCCCGTTCATAGTTCATTAGACAGAGTGCTTAAGATGTAAATGGACTTGAGCTTGTATATCGCTTTTCTAGTCTTCTGACTGCTCAAAGTGCTTTTACACCACAGGTCACACCAACACACACACTGATGGCAGAGGTTGCTTTGTAAATTTCATTCACATTCATAAAATTGCAGATGAAGTAGCAAGAGCGACAAGGTGGTGTCTCGCCCAAGGAAACATGGGGCGTGTGGCTGCAGGAGCTGGGGTTAAGAAGCAGCAAACATTACAACTTCTGAATCAGGATTGATCTCTGATTTTTCATGTAGTGCTACAGTCAAATATAAAATCATTATTATTCCAAAGTTTAAGTTTATTAAATGATCAAAAGTGAGAATATTACCATTGGTCCCAGTGTCGATTTTTAAGTGAAATGAAAGAACACTCCCAAGTTAAAGTTCTTAATCCATAATATTATTTAGCAGTCTTGTATTTTCTGCTGAGTTTGCCTGAAGTATAAAAGTAAAAGTAATTATTCAACCCATAGCGAAAGATAAGTTTGTTGATATACAACATAATAGTTGGCTTCAGTGGAGCAGTTTTGAATGACTTTATACACTGTTGGTCACTTTGGTTGTTTATCTGTTTAAAAATTAAAAATCATAACCAAGCACATTTTACCATCCACTGAATCCATTTACCTGAGCACTGTTCTTCATTGTGCAGGTCAGTAGCAAGCAGAAAAGTGTCTAAAACAACATCTAAGAAGAAAAAGTGTTCATCCATCCCTCCCTCCATCTGTCTGCTCACTCCTCTCTCTTGTGGAAAGCCTGGAAAAAAAAGCCCGTCACACTGACACCACTATGAGCATGTCAGCAGATATAAAGAGCGTCTGCCAGCGGGCGGGCGGGACAGAGCGGAGCAGAACTGGTGGAGAGAGAAGAGTTACCTGTCCCACAGCAAGAGGAACTCCTATGTGTGTGGAGCCTTGCTGGTAGATTAACTAAAACAAATCCTGCACAGAAATCAACTTCAGTCATCTGGAACAAAATGGTAAGATCGTTTTAATTTATTTCAAATATGCAAACTTATCCTGCCTTCTGCCTTTTATTGGCTCTAAAGGTTGAGCACGAGTAGATGTAATTTTATCAATGCTATAAAACATCAATCATTACCTGCTTGCATTAAGCAAGACTGATTAATGAAAAACTCATTGTGTTGCATGTTTATTAACATGCAGTCTGCAGGATTTTGTAGGCTTAAATGATGGATTGACATTTCTCTTTGTATTCTGAGAGTTAATGGTTTTATGATTTCACAATCACTGACAGACTGAGACATCCAGCCAGAGGAGATATGAGCTTCATCGTTAACCTCAGAAACTAAAACTCTCCCAATTAAAACCTATTCATTGTGAATCTTAAAGATTGTGTATTTTTAATCAATATTCAAATTCAAACTTGAGTCTGCCCATGACTTCCAAATGTCACTCAACAGCAGAAAATCATCTTGGGGGATGTTCCTCCTGCAGAGACAACAAAAGCTGAAATTCTCAACATGTAGAAACTTGACTGCGGGAAGCACTTAGAAAATGCAACAGTACAGTGTTGGCATAAGCCTGTCGTGTTTTGCCTTTGATTACTCTTAACAACTGGAAAAGCAGAGAACAAGAGCAACGGCTAATAAAGGGTATGATCAGACGTGTTTGCATAGCACACTTAGCTGATGTGTTTGAAGCCAAGGAATGACCATAAATCAATATTATAAACAAACAGATGCCTAATGTCCGACAGAATATTTAGGCCCTTAAGGGAAATACTTCATAACTATAATCCTGCATTGGTCGTTTAATTTTTTTAGCCCTAAAGGCAGCAGAACCACCATGGAATATAATATTAGGCTACCTCATGAGTGACATGGGTTTGTGACAGATGGCCGTGCCTTCAACCATCAATGTTATTGGTTGCAAAAAATTGTTAAGAAAAACTTCTACAAGACTTGTTAACTTGAACTTTGTGCATAGAACAGTTTGAGACACGGGCTGCGTCCCTGGTTCAAATCCCCATCAGACTCTGTGTGGAGTTTGCATGTTCTCTGTGGGTGTGTAGGTTCCCTTCCAGTACTCTGGCTTCCTCACATAGTGGTTGGATGGGCATTTGAGACGGTCAACTTAACTTCTGCATGTGTTGTTCTTTTTTTCTGTTCAGAGAGAGTGCATCTCCATCCATGTGGGTCAGGCAGGTGTGCAGACAGGAAATGCATGCTGGGAGCTCTTCTGCCTGGAGCATGGCGTCGGGCCTGACGGCGTCTTCCTGGACAGTCCGGCAGAACCGAACTCTCGTGAAGACCCGTTCAACACTTTCTTCAACACTGGGAGTTCTGGGCGTCATGTTCCCAGAGCCATATATGTGGACCTGGAGCCCACGGTGGTCGGTTAGTTTTCCTGTATTTCTGTTGATATTCCTCTTTCTTATCTGACGTCTTTATGGCCCCTCCAATCATCCCATTACGTGAGTTTCAACCCATCCACATGGGTCATGCATGTACTGCAGATGGGAACACTGGTATCCAAGCAACAGGTGCAGGGATGACTCCTTTGCCTTTTATTCAATACTGGCTAACATTTACAGAGAGGTAATGTGTAAATAACAAGCAGTATATGATTTATTTTTAAACTGAGCAGAACCATTTTTCTCCCTTAAGTCCCTTCAGTTTCAAGACAAAACATGTTTTACATATTTCCAACATAGCCACACAATCTTAAACTGCTCATTCCTGCCCTTTACTGGTCTTCCATTTAAATGTCAATGATATAGTTAAAGTCTTTATACGTAGAGCTACAGGTGAAAAACATAAAGTAAAAAGTTACTAAAGGAAGTTTAGCCATGTAGGTGTCTACATGAGCAGAACCATCAATAAGTCAATAGGGTTTAAGGTTAATGATAATGTGACTGTGAAGATGTTGAAGTGCACGTCTGGACATGTCTGTTTTAGAGGACTGGTCAGTGCTGCCAAGGTAATTCAAGACCCTTTGTGGATAAACCTTTCATTTCAGATGAGGTGAGGGTTGGGAAGTACAGAGAGCTGTTCCATCCTGAGCAACTGATCTCCGGAAAGGAGGATGCAGCCAACAACTACGCTCGTGGCCATTACACTGTGGGAAAGGAGATCATTGATGGAGTCATGGAGCGGATTCGCAAAATGGTCAGCAGTAATATTCAGCTACGAAGACAAATAAAATCATTTTCCTTGTTTTGTTTGGCCATTTTCCTCTGCAGAATTTTTAAAACTATGACAGCTATAACTGTGATACCAAATATTACGTTCCTACGCCGCTTTTTATGAACTTTATGGAAAATAACCTTACATTTTCTTGCAGGAAGTGAAATGAGAACACCCATATCACTTAGTTTAATATCATGTTTTTCTAAGTCATTGATGTTGCACTTCAGATCAGGTTTCAGATGAAAAACATAAAATAACGTGCAGGTTTGTGATCTTAACCGGTGCTGAAACACAGATTTTGATACCTATTGGCAAGTTAGAAGTTTCCCCTATAGACTGTATAAAACATGGACGTAGTCTCAGCGACATCACCCATTGGTTTCTGAAGCGCACTTTTGAAGCCCTGCGATGGCAGTAGCAATACTGAAAATGTTATCTGAATCTAACTCTCCGTCTACCTAGAAACTGGCAAAGAGATGGAGTCATGGGGTGCCGGATCGTCTTGCGGTCATGCCCCTTGTACAGAGGTTTGAGCCCTCGTAGCACTGGCTGTGGGTTTGAATCTGACCTCATCCCTTTGCGGCATGTCACCCCCCACTCTCTCCAACATCGACGTTAACACCCAACATTTCTTATCTCACTTCAGCTGTTCTATCCAATAAAGGCAAAAAAGCCCCCCCTCAAAATATTACTTTAAAGAGATGGAGTTGAGGCGGGCCCTAAACCTTCTAGCAACAGCTAGCTTGCTGCCAATAAGTCACTCCCCTAATTATGCGTTTTATCAACCATAAATCTAAATGGATGAGTTATTATTTTTAAATCACCCCAAAGTGTATCACGCTGTAAAGGTCTATTTCTGTGTAGTGTATGAGGCCTCAAGTGGACACTCGAGGAACTGCACTTTTTTGCACATTGGCTTTATTGTTCAACACCAGAGGTTGATGCTTAGTTCCCCCATTTTACAGTCTACAGGTTTTGCTGCATACTGAATGGACCAAAGTGAGAGTGATATCTTCTCGTCTAACTTTTTGCAAGAAAGCATATTTTGCATAATGTTGAACAAAGTCTCATCTTTTTATTCAAATCATCAGACAGACCAGTGCACCGGGCTGCAGGGTTTCCTCGTCTTTCACAGCTTTGGAGGTGGAACCGGCTCTGGCTTCACCTCTCTGCTGATGGAGCGTCTGTCTGTTGATTATGGGAAGAAGTCAAAGCTGGAGTTTGCAGTCTACCCGGCTCCTCAGGTGTCCACAGCTGTGGTGGAGCCGTACAACGCCATCCTGACCACCCACACCACCTTAGAGCACTCCGACTGCGCCTTCATGGTGGACAACGAGGCCATCTACGACATCTGTCGCCGCAACATGGACATTGAGAGTCCTGGTTACACCAACCTCAACAGATTGATCGGTCAGATTGTGTCATCAATCACAGCCTCACTTCGGTTTGACGGAGCTCTCAATGTAGACCTCATGGAGTTCCAGACCAACCTGGTCCCATTTCCACGTATCCACTTCCCTCTGGTCACCTACTCACCCATCATCTCTGCCGAGAAGGCGTACCACGAGCAGCTGACTGTGGCCGAGATCACGAGCGCCTGCTTCGAGCCAACCAATCAGATGGTCAAGTGTGACCCTCGTCACGGCAAGTACATGGCTTGCTGCATGCTGTACCGAGGGGATGTCGTTCCGAAGGATGTCAACACTGCCATTGCAAATATAAAGACCAGACGCTCCATTCAGTTTGTCGACTGGTGCCCCACTGGCTTCAAGGTGAGAAACAATATGGGGTTAATAATCTCCATAGACAGATTCCGCAGGCAATTGGTGGGGGACAATATTTCTGGTGTTGGATTTGTAGTCATGGTAGTATAAACCACTATAGCGTTTAAGTGGGCTTTGGCTATATGATAAGAAATCGTTTTTTGAGAGATAAAAGAGATGTAATGCAATCAGAAAACCATTGATTTATTTCTATATATATATTCATCTTTGAATAGGTGTAGCTAAAAATCCAGACCTGCATTGCCTCTCCACTCAAAATCCATCCTTGCATCTTAACTGAAGTTGCACTGTATACAATAGCAAGCACACATGGACAAAGAAGCCTTGGCACTGCTAATAATCACTCATCCTAAGAACCCCTGGCTTCACCAGAACTCCCAAAAGGTGTCCATTGCTCCCTTTGTTGACATTGTCTTAAGACAATAGCTGCTGGGTTACAGTTACAGTTTACAGAGATACTTCACTGTTTTGATCGTTCTCTTTGTCTCGATAGGTTGGGATCAATTACCAGCCCCCCACAGCAGTTCCTGGGGGAGACCTGGCCAAAGTCCAACGAGCTGTGTGCATGCTGAGCAACACCACTGCCATCGCCGAGGCCTGGTCTCGTCTCGACCACAAGTTTGACCTCATGTACGCCAAGCGTGCGTTTGTCCACTGGTACGTGGGTGAGGGCATGGAGGAGGGAGAGTTTACAGAGGCCAGAGAGGACCTGGCCTGTCTGGAGAAGGATTACGAGGAGTTGGCTCATTCGAACCAAGATTCTGAGATTGAGGACGAAGACGACCAAGAATACTGAACCTGAGGGCGGTTACTGCTGCACAGCACTTCTGTATAGAGTCGATCACTGTTACATACTGTATCCCTTCTTTTGTTTTCAAAGCAAGGATGAAACAAATCTATGATCTTTCTCACTGTCATTTTTTTATCATTTTAGTTTCATTGTAACCACTTGAGACACATGCTTTTGTGTGGTAGGCATTTTTACTTACTTCTAGCTATCAGGATTTTGGATGACTTCAATAATGCTTTTTTTTTTTCAGGGGAAAAAAATGGCTTCATAAAGGGACAATGGGATTTTTTGGCTAATAAACCAAAAATGTGTTTTTTTGTAAATACCAACATTTTGAAAAATTGCAACAATACATCTGAATGTTGTTTGATTCTCTTAATTACCTCCAGATTAGAGTCTTCTCCTCTTATCAGAAAGTGGACTGCACTTGACTGAGAAACGAGTCCTGAATCAAATCAATGTATCAAATAAGAATTAAAAATATAAAAAACTAATTAGATTTGATCAAAAAATCTCCACTAGTTATAACATAGAGCTGACATTATAGCAATGGGACAATCATCCAATAAGAGTGACAGGGACCATTCTGCATTAAAGGTACTTTTCTTTAATATAATAAAATGTTGTTTCTGCATTTATTGAGGTGAAATTTAGAATAGCCTACATGGCGTCTTTATGTTGGCCTATATAGTATTTTTAAGAGTTTTATTAAATAAAATATTCATACTATATATACTGTATTCTGCCTCTAGCCTTGCTTACAATAAATTACTATATAAATAATTTTATGATTTGTATGCTGTTGAGTCCCCAGTCTATTCATGGCCATTATTTTGGGGGTCCCGAGCTGAAACGTTTGGGAACCCATTATCTACATGACTTGAAGTTGTTTTATTACCTTTAACTTCTTTAAACATGACTTTGAGAGACAATAAACCTCCGGTTATAGAATATACATCTGCAGATGTTACAAAACGTTCGTGAAGAGCATCCAATCAAACTGCACGGAATGGCTATTTAAAAAATGAGTCCCGGTAGCCGTTAAGGTGTCACCTTATATTCATCCGCACAAGTGTAAACATAAAACAGTTCTCAAAGACGTGAAAGGTGACTTGAAAACACGATGCATAGCAAGTGTCCATGTTGTTACATATCAGATTTAGTAACGAATTGGAAAATGACACGAACATTTCAACTTCTCTTTACAAATGTATAGAGCCGAGCTATAGGATAAAGACTGAGGAGCAGCCATTATAATCGCTTCTTTATCTGCAAAAAAAAAAACACACACAAGGACCTTAGTGTTTCATTAACATTAAACATTCCTATCTAAAAGACTTAGTGAAGCCTAATAGTGAAGTTAAATGTTGGAATATCCACCACAGTTATAGTCAAGCCAAATCCAAACAGTCTAATACATTAACCTTGGGTGTATTATTTTCAATATAAGACTATTCATTAATTCCAGATTGATATTTTGACTGCAGTCAGTGGTGGACATAAAGTGGCCTACAATCAATCAAAAACGAAGCATGCTACAAATTATTTCAAATACATTTAGTGGCAAAATGGATGCACACAGACCTATAGTCACAATCTTGGATGATTATTGCCACAAATCAGCAAAGCACACCAAAGAAAAAGCCTTTATATACATGTTTTATCCAGAATCATAAAAGGCTCAATCCATGTGTGGATCTTGTAGTGACTAAGGTCTAATAATGATCTTAAAAAAACATCTAAACTCTCACAATAGGCACTATTCAAATCCAACAATATGGTGTCTTTATATAACATGGGTAGTAATAGAATAGAATTCCTTTATTGATCCCAAACTGGGAAATTGTGGCGTTACAGCAGCAGGTTATCCAAACACACAATATGAGTAAAAAATAACACAATGTTAGCAAATTAAACACAATATAATATTAAATACAAAGTAAATAAGCACTAAAATTATCAAAACTAAGAATGTGCATATATACAACCAGGATTTAACTAAGCATTACTAGTCTTAAATAGGAAGATTAAATATGGAAGATTGAATGTAAATGTGCAAAAACAGAGTAGTAAATGGTTGTAAATTAAATATGAATGATTAAATGTAAATGTGCAAAAAACAAGTTGCAAATGGACAGTGTTGACACACGTTAAAGTGCATGAGTGTAGACATATAATAAGCAGAAACTACACAATATAACGGCGAGTAGACAGACAAATGAAGTGAACACAACACAAACAATAGTCAGCAAATTTATATGAGTATCAAATTGCCTGAAATCAAAATGACGTGTCTCTCTAACAGCATCTTGAGACGTTACCAAAAGAGAAATCCCACACGCACTAATGGGACCTTGAGTGGTGTCTAGTTTCTTCAGCGGACGTGCTCACTGCCTTGGAACGTTCTCCTCTCTGTGCATGGATGTGTGTTTCAGTGGCTGTGTGTGTGTGTGTGTGTAAGTGTGTGTGTGAGTGTTAGTAGCCTGTATGTGTGTAAGCTGCCTCATATCGTGTTGATGACGACCGACTGCCATCGAGCCTGACGGCGAACAAACGGCATTTTAAATTAAACAAGAAACACTCCAGGGGTTGTTTTTTTTTTTTTTTAGGTACTTTTTTTTTTTTTTACAAAGTGAGTGACCTCTCTCTTCTGTCCGAGCCGCCGCCGCCGCCGCTCGGGTCGGTCCGACACGATGAGCCAGCCTCGGCCGGACGAGTTCAAGCCTCCTCCGGAGTGCCCGGTCTTCGAGCCCAGCTGGGAAGAATTCAAAGACCCGTTTGCCTTCATCAACAAGATCCGTCCAATCGCCGAGAAAACTGGCATTTGCAAAGTCCGACCGCCTCCGGTAAGTGCTGGGGGTGGGGGGGGGAAACGATTAAAACAGACCCCTCCACACTGATGCTCGACCGTCGAGTCGGCGGTTAGACGGTCCAAGCGCTTCGGGATTTAAAGGGACTGTTCAACATGGCGGATTCACGGCTATGTTCATTCTTTGTGCTGCCACAGCTTAGCAACCTATTCCCCCCCCCTCCCTCTCCACATTATTACCCTCACTGTGGTCGTTCTGGTTTATTTTTCTGTTTTAACTTCACGCTACTTGGCTTTAGTAAAGACCGTGTCCGCGTCTTAGGAGTGAAATATAACCGTGGTTCGCGGATTGTCAACAAAGCCTTAATGGTCCCCGATCAATGGGCCACTTAGCACGAGTAGCATGCTAATGCTAACTGGTAGCTCACCGACCCAACCTGTCATAATTGACGCTTTGACAAAAATAGGTGGCAATGCGGAAGCCTCTCTCTCTCTCTCTCTGCTGTGTAGTAAATGATAATAAAACGTAAATAAAATAAACACGGTTGGTGAAGCTTTGTGTTCCTCTTCGTCCTTTAAAAGTCACCAAAGCCCTGCAGTTGATGTTAATTATGGATTATTTGTTGAGTAGCATCATGATGCAGTTGGGTCACTCAGTGTACTTGTGACCCATCACTCCTAACTGAGTGTTATGATGATTATTATTGTTGAAGAGTGTGTTTTTTATCAGGTGGGTTAGATATAGATGGATTATAAGATAAATGACCCCACGATGGGACAAGAAGTACACACTGTTATTGTCCACTTTTAAGTGTTAAAAAGGGAGTTTTGACTCTTGGAAGTTGTCTTTTTAACCCGTGATTTGACACAGCAGTTCAGTTGTTTTGCAGGTTTTTAGACTTAAAGTGTGTTATAGATGAGCTACTGCTCATGTATGAGCCTGTGTTGTAGGGTGTTGTCCTCCATGTTGGCTTTGTGGTAAGCTGTGCTGGTGAGTGAGTCTTCCATCTGGCCATTTTGTGTGCCAGTGGGGGATGTTGGCTACTGACTTAACACAAGAACTTGGGTCTCTGGACATTACTTTTTTTTTGGTAAATGCAGGATCACGTGTTATCTTTGCAAGATTATTGATGAGTGTTGTGAGATGTAAATTAAAGAGGATCACAGTATTCCTGCAGTATCAGCTGATGTCTTTTGCCTCTATGGCACAAACTTGGTTCCAAAATTAGTTAAAATATGTTCAAGATAGCCGTAGACATTTTTAACTGACTATTTTAGTTTGGCGATGTCACCGTTGGTAAAGAATCTGAACATTTCTAAAATTTGGGTCAGATCTTTTGAAGCACAATTGTCACGAGGACACCATTTTGAATTGAAAGAAAGTAGACCTGGTAAACAAAAATTATCAACGCGAAACTGAAACCTGTCAAAACTGCCGATTAAAAATCTATCCTTGTGACATGTTTGTCTGTGACGACCTTTTGATGCCTTTGTGTGTATTTTTGTTGTCGTTTAGGGCTGGCAGCCTCCGTTTGCTTGTGATGTTGACAGACTTCACTTTGTTCCACGGATCCAGAGGCTCAATGAACTGGAGGTGAGTGGATTGAATCAGTGATCATTACATGACTGTATCTATGTTTGACTAATGAAGTCATTTCATAAAATGGACATTGATTTGATTTAATTTTGACCTCATGTTACTGTCTATGCAGCCCGTGCTCACGATAACAACAAACAGTGATGAATAACCTCAAGTGAGAGTGTTATACAAACGCATAATAACTCATATATACTTCTTCCAAAGGTTAAATTATAAGACGTGAAACCATGGATGGATGTTGTTTATCTTAATCAACAGGATTCTTTTCCTAATTTTCTTGGGGAAATAGTCCACTGTCTCAAATAAATGTGTTCCATTACAGTGTTCCCCAGAGATTGTGTTGGTTTTCAATGAATGCCTTCAATTCTTTTTCTCAGTTAATTTCCTTCGACTAAATCTATTTATAGCCCAGTGTCGTCATTTATTGTTCATTTTCCCAGGCACAGACCAGAGTCAAGCTCAACTTCTTGGACCAGATTGCCAAATTTTGGGATTTGCAGGGATGTGCCCTCAAGATTCCTCACGTGGAGAGGAAGATTTTGGATTTATATAAGCTGAATAAGGTGGGATATTAACATCACTCAGTACTGCTTTTCACATACACTCCATGTCTGCCTCACTAGGACCGCCTTACACCTGTACAGTCTGATACGACCGACAGTACTACAGCTTTGCCCTGAATGTTCTGCTTTTACAATGTTTGTCATTTTTCATTTTTCTTGACAGTTTGAAAGGTAGTAGATCTGAATCTTTGCGTGTTGTTGAAGTTGGTGGTGATGTTGCACTGGAAAGTAATCTCTTAAATGGTGTTTAAAATATTCTGCCCCCCCCCCCTCATGTGTGTGTCTGTATATGGAGAGGATAAATAATAATATAATGTTAATAATGTTTACTGTAAACACAACAAAGTACAACCTTAATGACAAAGCTGTAGCTTAATTAATACCTGTGTGACAAGTCGTTTTCACAAATGAACTCCTGAAAAGTTCAAGTTCAAGATCTCCGGAAACAAGATATCGTGGAAGTGGCGCACAAAGCAACAGAGTCCGACTATAATGTGATAATTTGCCTTTATATCAATGCTATGTGTAATTCCACACATTAACAATATCAACATAAGAGAGTGGAGAAGAACATGGGGCGTCGGTGGCCTCGTGGTCAGTTTGCATTCATGTGCAGGGGATACAGTTCTCAAAGTTGGCAGCCTGGGCAGTCCTGTCTCTGTAATAAAGGCATAAAAAGGCTCGTCCAAAAAAATCATATTTAAGAGAAGAAGATGTTGGCAAACAGAATACATAATGAAGCTTTTCATTTTGTGCATGGAGA